TTTTCCGTAATTGTGTTATTTAAATTGCTGATACTGTAGGGTTAAAGTAACTTTTTGATATTGTATTGGTGTTACTGTAGGGTTAAAGTCACTTTTTGTTATTTTTTTGGTGTTACTGTAGGATTAAAGTCACTTTTTGTTATTTTGTTGGTGTTACTGTAGGGTTAAAGTCACTTTTTGTTATTTTGTTGGTGTAACTGTAGAGTTAAAGTCACTTTTTAGTTATTTTGTTGGTGTTACTGTAGGGTTAAAGTCCCTTTTTGTTATTTTGTTGGTGTAACTGTAGGATTAAAGTCACTTTTTGTTACTTTTTTGTTATTTTGTTGGTGTTACTGTAGGATTAAAGTCACTTTTTGTTATTTTGTTGGTGTTACTGTAGGATTAAAGTCACTTTTTGTTATTTTGTTGGTGTTACTGTAGGATTAAAGTCACTTTTTGTTATTTTGTTGGTGTAACTGTAGGATTAAAGTCACTTTTTTGTTATTTTGTTGGTGTTACTGTAGGATTAAAGTCACTTTTTTGTTATTTTGTTGGTGTTACTGTAGGATTAAAGTCACTTTTTTGTTATTTTGTTGGTGTTACTGTAGGATTAAAGTCACTTTTTGTTATTTTGTTGGTGTTACTGTAGGATTAAAGTCACTTTTTGTTATTTTGTTGGTGTAACTGTAGGATTAAAGTCACTTTTTTGTTATTTTGTTGGTGTTACTGTAGGATTAAAGTCACTTTTTGTTATTTTGTTGGTGTAACTGTAGGATTAAAGTCACTTTTTTGTTATTTTGTTGGTGTTACTGTAGGATTAAAGTCACTTTTTGTTATTTTGTTGATGTAACTGTAGGGTTAAAGTCACTTTTTTGTTATTTTGTTGGTGTTACTGTAGGATTAAAGTCACTTTTTTGTTATTTTGTTGGTGTTACTGTAGGATTAAAGTCACTTTTTTGTTATTTTGTTGGTGTTACTGTAGGGTTAAAGTCACTTTTTTGTTATTTTGTTGGTGTTACTGTAGGATTAAAGTCACTTTTTTGTTATCTTGTTGGTGTTACTGTAGGATTAAAGTCACTTTTTGTTATTTTGTTGGTGTAACTGTAGGATTAAAGTCACTTTTTTGTTATCTTGTTGGTGTTACTGTAGGGTTAAAGTCACTTTTGTTATTTTGTTGGTGTTACTTTTTTGTTATTTTGTTGGTGTTACTGTAGGATTAAAGTCACTTTTTTGTTATTTTATTAGTGTTACTGTAGGGTTAAAGTCACTTTTTTTGTTATTTTATTAGTGTTACTGTAGGGTTAAAGTCACTTTTTTGTTATTTTGTTGGTGTTACTGTAGGATTAAAGTCACTTTTTTGTTATTTTGTTGGTGATACTCTAGGGTTAAAGTCACTTTTTTTGTTATTTTGTTGGTGTTACTGTAGGGTTAAAGTCACTTTTTTGTTATCTTGTTGGTGTTACTGTAGGGTTAAAGTCACTTTTTTTGTTATTTTATTAGTGTTACTGTAGGGTTAAAGTCACTTTTTGTTATTTTGTTGGTGATACTGTAGGGTTAAAGTCCCTTTTTGTTATTTTGTTGGTGTAACTGTAGAGTTAAAGTCACTTTTTTGTTATCTTGTTGGTGTTACTGTAGGGTTAAAGTCACTTTTTTGTTATTTTGTTGGTGATACTCTAGGGTTAAAGTCACTTTTTTTGTTATTTTGTTGGTGTTACTGTAGGATTAAAGTCACTTTTTTGTTATTTTATTAGTGTTACTGTAGGGTTAAAGTCACTTTTTTTGTTATTTTATTAGTGTTACTGTAGGGTTAAAGTCACTTTTTGTTATTTTGTTGATGTAACTGTAGGGTTAAAGTCACTTTTTTGTTATTTTGTTGGTGTTACTGTAGAGTTAAAGTCACTTTTTTTTTGTTATTTTGTTGGTGTTACTGTAGGATTAAAGGCACTTTTTTGTTATTTTGTTGGTGTTACTGTAGGGTTAAAGTCACTTTTTTGTTATTTTGTTGGTGTTACTGTAGGGTTAAAGTCACTTTTTTGTTATTTTGTTGGTGTTACTGTAGGGTTAAAGTCACTTTTTTGTTATTTTGTTGGTGTTACTGTAGGATTAAAGTCACTTTTTTGTTATTTTATGGTGTTACTGGAGGATTAAAGTCACTTTTTGTTATTTTGTTTTTGTAGGGTTAAAGTATTTTGTTGACTGTAGGGTTGTAGGGTTAAAGTCACTTTTTTGTTATTTTGTTGGTGTAACTGTAGAGTTAAAGTCACTTTTTAGTTATTTTGTTGGTGTTACTGTAGGGTTAAAGTCCCTTTTTGTTATTTTGTTGGTGTAACTGTAGAGTTAAAGTCACTTTTTGTTATTTTGTTGGTGATACTGTAGGGTTAAAGTCCCTTTTTGTTATTTTGTTGGTGTAACTGTAGAGTTAAAGTCACTTTTTAGTTATTTTGTTGGTGTTACTGTAGGGTTAAAGTCCCTTTTTGTTATTTTGTTGGTGTAAGATTTTTAAATTTTGTTGGTGTTACTGTAGGGTTAAAGTCCCTTTTTGTTATTTTGTTGGTGTAACTGTAGAGTTAAAGTCACTTTTTATTAATATTGTTGGTGATACTCTAGGGTTAAAGTCACTTTTTTGTTATTTTGTTGGTGTAACTGTAGAGTTAAAGTCACTTTTTAGTTATTTTGTTGGTGTTACTGTAGGGTTAAAGTCACTTTTTGTTATTTTGTTGGTGTAACTGTAGAGTTAGTCACTTTTTGTATATTGTTGGTGTTAAAGTCACTTTTTGTAATATTGTTGGTGATACTCTAGGGTTAAAGTCACTTTTTTGTTATTTTGTTGGTGTAACTGTAGAGTTAAAGTCACTTTTTAGTTATTTTGTTGGTGTTACTGTAGGGTTAAAGTCCCTTTTTGTTATTTTGTTGGTGTGTTAAAGTCACTTTTTGTTATTTTGTTGGTGTCACTTTTTGTTATTTTGTTGGTGTTACTGTATGATTAAATTCAATTGTTTGTTATTTTGTTGGTGTTACTGTAGAGTTAAAGTCACTTTTTTGTTATTTTGTTGGTGTTACTGTAGGTTAAAGTCTTTTTTGTTATTTTGTTGGTGTTTTTTGTTATTTTGTTGGTGTTACTGTAGGTTAAAGTCACTTTTTGTTATTTTGTTGGTGTTACTGTAGGGTTAAAGTCACTTTTTTGTTATTTTGTTGGTGTAACTGTAGTTAAAGTCACTTTTTGTTATTTTGTTGGTGTTACTGTAGGATTAAAGTCACTTTTTTTGTTATTTTATTAGTGTTACTGTAGGGTTAAAGTCACTTTTTTGTTATTTTGTTGGTGTTACTGTAGGGTTAAAGTCACTTTTTTGTTATTTTGTTGGTGTTACTGTAGGGTTAAAGTCACTTTTTTGTTAGTTTGTTGGTGTTACTGTAGGATTAAAGTCACTTTTTTGTTATTTTGTTGGTGTTACTGTAGGGTTAAAGTCACTTTTTTGTTATTTTGTTGGTGTTATTGTAGGATTAAAGTCACTTTTTTGTTATTTTGTTGGTGTTACTGTAGGGTTAAAGTCACTTTTTTGTTATTTTGTTGGTGTTACTGTAGGATTAAAGTCACTTTTTTGTTATTTTGTTGGTGTTACTGTAGGATTAAAGTCACTTTTTTGTTATTTTGTTGGTGTTACTGTAGGATTAAAGTCACTTTTTTGTTATTTTGTTGGTGTTACTGTAGGATTAAAGTCACTTTTTTGTTATTTTGTTGGTGTTACTGTAGGATTAAAGTCACTTTTTTGTTATTTTTTTGTTATTTTGTCACTTTTTGTTATTTTGTTGGTGTGTTACTGTAGGATTAAAGTCACTTTTTGTTATTGTTGTTGTTAAAGTCACTTTTTGTTATTTTGTTGGTGATACTGTAGGGTTAAAGTCACTTTTTTGTTATTTTGTTGGTGTTACTGTAGGATTAAAGTCACTTTTTTGTTATTTTGTTGGTGTTACTGTAGGATTAAAGTCACTTTTTGTTATTTTGTTGGTGTTACTGTAGGATTAAAGTCACTTTTTAGTTATTTTGTTGGTGTAACTGTAGGGTTAAAGTCACTTTTTGTTATTTTGTTGGTGTTACTGTAGGATTAAAGTCACTTTTTGTTATTTTGTTGGTGTTACTGTAGGATTAAAGTCACTTTTTGTTATTTTGTTGGTGTCACTGTAGGATTAAAGTCACTTTTTGTTATTTTGTTGGTGATACTGTAGGGTTAAAGTCACTTTTTTGTTATTTTGTTGGTGTTACTGTAGGATTAAAGTCACTTTTTTGTTATTTTGTTGGTGTTACTGTAGGGTTAAAGTCACGTTTTGTTATTTTGTTGGTGATCCTGTAGGGTTAGCGTTACTTTTTTGTTTTTGTTGTTGTTACTGTAGGGTTAGCGGTTTTTGTTTTTGTTTTTTTTTTTTTGGTGTTACTGTAGGGTTAAATTCACGTATGTGTTATTTTGTATTACGTCGTACTACTGTAGTGTTAAATTTACTGTTGTTGACGCTGTTGATGTTACTGTAGCGTTAACCTTATCTTTACTCTGCTTGTGTTACTGTAGAGATCATGTCATGCTTTTACTCTGTGTATGTTATTGTAGGGTTAATGTCTCCAGAGAATTTTCTTCCTCTTTTAATATCTGCTACTTTTTGTGTTGTTTTATAAACCATTTTCCTTTTAAGTAGAATTACGGAACGTTGAACGAGAACTTGAAGAAGCCATTGAGAATATCATGATGGAAAGATCGATGAATTCAGAAATACCCACCATTGAACAGGTGATGGCTTTTATGTTTATGAAACAAAACACGCCTTTTTCCATTGCTTGTAATTTATATGATTTGAGGTATAACCTAGTTCTAATCAAGATAAATCTTGTAAAAAAGAATGATCTTTAAAAAGTTTTGAAACTGAAGTTGTCTTTTCTGTCACCAAGGAATTGAAATATTTGTTATTAAAATTTTTGATCGTGGTTTTGTATGAAATCATTAAAGGCAATTTTTGACCCATATTCTGTCCAGATGAATGACACGGAGATTAACAAGTTGAAAAGTGAGCTGGTATGTAAGGATGAAAAGTGCCATAAGGTATGTTTCTTCCCTTCTTCGATGATATTATTATGACTAAAGTTCTAGATTTAATGATGCATGTTGGATTTTATATAGAGTTGCTATTCGCTGTTCATTTTTGTCTCTAATGAAACCGATATCAATGTTTCTTTGACTGTGAAAATACATTTCAAATGTATCGAACGATTTCGTTGCTGACGTTACAATTTTACGTAAAAATCATTTATGTTCTGCTTTTTTTATCAAGGCAGTCAAGTATAATTTTGGCTCGGATCCACAATTCAAAGATGAGCATATACCGAAAAAGGTACGTATGAAGTTGCCATATTCGATATTTTGCGTTAATCGTATTGCCAATTCGTTACACTATTTTCTACCTTAGTGTACATTTGCTTATGATACAGCCGAAAGTCCTGTCGATTTGTTCTGATATATCCTGATACGGTTAGTACTTGTCATTCGTCTCATAACGCTGACAGTGTCACACGTAGTTTTCTTTCAGATTGCAATATAAGAAATTCTGTTCTTTTGATATATACCTACCGGGAGAAAATGTTGCCCTATAAGAACTTGTTGCTTGTTTTAATTATATTTTCATACAGCATTTAACCATTTGACTCTTTGTCTCCAATAAACTAAGTCACCAAGAAATATTGATGTAATATCAACATCATCTTCTATTTACAATTTTGAATTTTCCGCTTTAGATACAAACCACATGGACAAATTTCCACGTCAACTAGTACTTTTTGTAATCGCTTAGTGCACGTATTAGCCCAAAATGATTTTGTTTTTCTGTGTAATAATTTTTATCCATGATAATAATGCTTTTTTTTCGTAAATTTACAAGGAGATCACAGGAAGCCACAGTAAGAGACTATTTCATACAGAAGAAAGACCATGGGGTCTCACAATCCCATACGATGACACCCAATTAAGTAAGTACACGAATTTTAAATTGCAAAAAGGCATTTACAGCTCGATCAAAATGAGATCATTCATCTTAAAAGATAAGAGAAATACAAATCGTTCAAACAAACTTTTGCCTTTGACACAGATTGTGTCTCTCAGCTTACAAAGATAGACAAGACAGAAAAATGTATAAATTTGATCATCTTTAATATTATATTCGGCCATCTGAGCGGTCAACTGTAGTGAAAATTTGGCCAAATTTTAGATATTGTCCGATTTTCGTGAAAATTTGTATATATGTATTAGGTGGCACTATAGGAGCAAAATGGTGTTGTCCATTTTTCATTCGGCCATCGATCGGTCATCTGATCGGTCAGCTGTGGTCTAAATTTGTCCAAAGTTTTAGATATTATCCGATTTTCGTGAAAATTTGTATATATGTATCAGGTGGCACTATAGGAGCAAAATGGCGTTGTCCGTTTTTCATTCGGCCATCGATCGGTCATCTGAACGGTCAGCTGTGGTCAAAATTTGGCCAAATTTTAGATATTATCCGATTTTCGTGAAAATTGGTATAGATGTATTAGGTGGCACTATAGGAGCAAAATGGCATGGTCCATTTTTCATTCGGCCATCGATCGGTCATCTGAACGGTCAGCTGTGGTCAAAATTTGGCCAAATTTTAGATATTATCCGATTTTCGTGAAAATTAGTATATATGTATTAGGTGGCACTATAGGAGCAAAATGACATAGTCCATTTTTCATTCGGCCATCTGAGCGGTCAACTGTAGTGAAAATTTGGCCAAATTTTAGATATTGTCCGATTTTCACTATAGGAGCAAAATGGCGTTGTCCGTTTTTCATTCGGCCATCGATCGGTCATCTGTGGTCAAAATTTGGTCAAATTTTAGATATTGTCTGATTTTCGTGAAAAATGGTATATATGTATTAGGTGGCACTATAGGAGCAAAATGGCATAGTCCATTTTTCATTCGGCCATCGATCGGTCATCTGAGCGGTCAGCTGTGGTCAAAATTTGGCCAAATTTTAGATATTGTCTGATTTTCGTGAAAATTGGTATAGATGTATTAGGTGGCACTATAGGAGCAAAATGGCATGGTCCATTTTTCATTCGGCCATCGATCGGTCATCTGAGCGGTCAGCTGTGGTCAAAATTTGGCCAAATTATAGATATTATCCGACTTTCGTGAAAATTGGTATAGATGTATTAGGTGGCACTATAGGAGCAAAATGGCATAGTCCATTTTTCATTCGGCCATCTGATCGGTCAGCTGTGGTCAAAATTTGGCCAAATTTTAAATATTATCCGATATTTCGTGAACATTATTATTTATGTATTAGGTGGGAATATAGGAGCAAAATGGCGTAGTCCATTTTTCATTCGGCCATCGATCGGTCATCTGAGCGGTCAGCTGTGGTCAAAATTTGGCCAAATTTTAGATATTGTCTGATTTTCGTGAAAATTGGTATAGATGTATTAGGTGGCACTATAGGAGCAAAATGGCGTTGTCCGTTTTTCATTCGGCCATCGATCGGTCATCTGTGGTCAAAATTTGGTCAAATTTTAGATATTGTCTGATTTTCGTGAAAAATGGTATATATGTATTAGGTGGCACTATAGGAGCAAAATTGCATAGTCCATTTTTCATTCGGCCATCGATCGGTCATCTGAGCGGTCAGCTGTGGTCAAAATTTGGCCAAATTTTAGATATTATCCGATATTTCGTGAACATTAGTATTTATGTATTAGGTGGGAATATAGTAGCAAAATGGCATAGTCCATTTTTCATTCGGCCATCTGAGCGGTCAACTGTGGTCAAAATTTGGCCAAATTTTAAATATTATCCGATATTTCGTGAACATTATTATTTATGTATTAGGTGGGAATATAGGAGCAAAATGGCGTAGTCCATTTTTCATTCGGCCATCTGAGCGGTCAACTGTAGTGAAAATTTGGCCAAATTTTAGATATTGTCCGATTTTCGTGAAAATTTGTATATATGTATTAGGTGGCACTATAGGAGCAAAATGGCGTTGTCCGTTTTTCATTCGGCCATCGATCGGTCATCTGTGGTCAAAATTTGGTCAAATTTTAGATATTGTCTGATTTTCGTGAAAAATAGTATATATGTATTAGGTGGCACTATAGGAGTAAAATTGCATAGTCCATTTTTCATTCGGCCATCGATCGGTCATCTGAGCGGTCAGCTGTGGTCAAAATTTGGCCAAATTTTAGATATTGTCTGATTTTCGTGAAAATTGGTATAGATGTATTAGGTGGCACTATAGGAGCAAAATGGCATGGTCCATTTTTCATTCGGCCATCGATCGGTCATCTGAGCGGTCAGCTGTGGTCAAAATTTGGCCAAATTATAGATATTATCCGACTTTCGTGAAAATTGGTATAGATGTATTAGGTGGCACTATAGGAGCAAAATGGCATAGTCCATTTTTCATTCGGCCATCTGATCGGTCAGCTGTGGTCAAAATTTGGCCAAATTTTAAATATTATCCGATATTTCGTGAACATTATTATTTATGTATTAGGTGGGAATATAGGAGCAAAATGGCGTAGTCCATTTTTCATTCGGCCATCGATCGGTCATCTGAGCGGTCAGCTGTGGTCAAAATTTGGCCAAATTTTAGATATTGTCTGATTTTCGTGAAAATTGGTATAGATGTATTAGGTGGCACTATAGGAGCAAAATGGCATAGTCCATTTTTCATTCGGCCATCTGAGCGGTCAACTGTAGTGAAAATTTGGCCAAATTTTAGATATTGTCCGATTTTCGTGAAAATTTGTATATATGTATTAGGTGGCACTATAGGAGCAAAATGGCGTTGTCCGTTTTTCATTCGGCCATCGATCGGTCATCTGTGGTCAAAATTTGGTCAAATTTAAGATATTGTCTGATTTTCGTGAAAAATGGTATATATGTATTAGGTGGCACAATAGGAGCAAAATGGCATAGTCCATTTTTCATTCGGCCATCGATCGGTCATCTGAGCGGTCAGCTGTGGTCAAAATTTGGCCAAATTTTAGATATTGTCTGATTTTCGTGAAAATTGGTATAGATGTATTAGGTGGCACTATAGGAGCAAAATGGCATGGTCCATTTTTCATTCGGCCATCGATCGGTCATCTGAGCGGTCAGCTGTGGTCAAAATTTGGCCAAATTTTAGATATTATCCGACTTTCGTGAAAATTGGTATAGATGTATTAGGTGGAACTATAGGAGCAAAATGGCATAGTCCATTTTTCATTCGGTCATCTGATCGGTCAGCTGTGGTCAAAATTTGGCCAAATTTTAAATATTATCCGATATTTCGTGAACATTATTATTTATGTATTAGGTGGGAATATAGGAGCAAAATGGCGTAGTCCATTTTTCATTCGGCCATCTGAGCGGTCAACTGTAGTGAAAATTTGGCCAAATTTTAGATATTGTCCGATTTTCGTGAAAATTTGTATATATGTATTAGGTGGCACTATAGGAGCAAAATGGCGTTGTCCGTTTTTCATTCGGCCATCGATCGGTCATCTGTGGTCAAAATTTGGTCAAATTTTAGATATTGTCTGATTTTCGTGAAAAATGGTATATATGTATTAGGTGGCACTATAGGAGTAAAATTGCATAGTCCATTTTTCATTCGGCCATCGATCGGTCATCTGAGCGGTCAGCTGTGGTCAAAATTTGGCCAAATTTTAGATATTGTCTGATTTTCGTGAAAATTGGTATAGATGTATTAGGTGGCACTATAGGAGCAAAATGGCATGGTCCATTTTTCATTCGGCCATCGATCGGTCATCTGAGCGGTAAGCTGTGGTCGAAATTTGGCCAAATTTTAGATATTATCCGATTTTCGTGAAAATTAGTATATATGTATTAGGTGGCACTATAGGAGCAAAATGGTGTTGTCCATTTTTCATTCGGCCATCGATCGGTCATCTGATCGGTCAGCTGTGGTCAAAATTTGGCCAAATTTTAGGTATTATCCGATTTTTCGTGAAAATTAGTATATATGTATTAGGTGGGAATATAGGAGCAAAATGGCATAGTCCATTTTTCATTCGGCCATCTGAGCGGTCAACTGTAGTCGAAATTTGGCCAAATTTTAGATATTGTCTGATTTTCGTGAAAATTGGTATATATGTATTAAGTGGCACTATAGGAGCAAAATGGCGTTGTCCATTTTTCATTCGGCCATCGATCGGTCATCTGATCGGTCAGCTGTGGTCAAAATTTGGCCAAATTTTAGGTATTATCCGATTTTTCGTGAAAATTAGTATATATGTATTAAGTGGCACTATAGGAGCAAAATGGCATAGTCCATTTTTCATTCGGCCATCGATCGGTCCTCTGAGCGGTCA